GCTACTTTTGTGTTTACTGGATTATTCTCTGCAGTTCTGAGGTGTCTCTAGGATTAGTCTATTGGCCTGGAAGCCACAATGGAAGCAGACCGTACCCCATAGCTGTGCCAGTTCTTCAGAATAAGTCTTGCTGGGTAACCTGCTTGGCTATCTCTGTGACATCAGTTTTAGTGGTTGTCAGTGCTGTTTCGTCAGGAGCTGGAATGCTGTACCGTCTGTCTTGAAAAATACAGGCCTCTGACGCTTGACCTAATAAGAGCCACTGGTTTAGTGTCTCTCTTACGTGGGATTGCCTACCCTGATTGGCTTCACTATGGCTACGTCTAGACTGGCATGATTTTCCGCAAATGCTTTTAACGGAAAATTTTTTGCGGAAAAGAGTCCGTGCCAATCTAGACGCGCTTTTCTGCAAAAAAAAGCCCCGATCGCCATTTTCGCGATCAGGGCTTTTTTGTGCAAAACAAATCTGAGCTGTCTACACTGGCCCTTTTGCGCAAAAGCTCTGCGCAAAAGGACTTTTGCCCGAACGGAAGCCGCATAGTATTTCTGCAAGAAGCACTGATTTCAGACAGTACGAAGTCAGTGTTCTTGCAGAAATTCAAGCGGCCAGTGTAGACAGCTGGCAAGTTTTTCCGCAAAAGCAGCTGCTTTTGTGGAAAAACTTCCCAGTCTAGACACAGCCTATGACTGTATCAGCAAGCCTGAACCTCTTGCAAGGAAAACACCACTGCTGCCCGCCTTTGTAAAACAGCCCTCTCAAATGTTATGCTGAAGGAGAGCCTTACTATTCCGTGTTTAAATCAGCCTTTAGAATCCTATGGTTGAGATCCAAGTCCATATTAATTGCCACAGGGTGGTTTAAATATTTCTATAGGAAGGAACTCATATCCTATTAAACTTTTTTATAGAGCAATTTCTTCAAAACAAAACAAAAACAAAAAAACCACACACCCTACAGGAGGATTTAACACCTACTGCACAACAAGCAGTAATATTATAAAGACTTTATGCAACCATGGCATTCTATGAGTTGGTATTTTCAGATTTCCCTTGCTGAAATGCTCTTTTGCAATTGTTGTGGTGAATCTAATTAAGCTGTAACAAGTACATGGACTCTGCCAAAAGCCCCAGGATAGTTGTTTTGTTTGAATTTTCAGCAGAATACATGAAAATGCACATTTCAATTTCCTTTCTTTAAACAAAATAATTGTTCACCGTGACAGACTGTCCACACAAGAAGCTGATGCAAGAGCTCCAGAGCTGCAGTGACAGAACAAAATGAGTTTTCCATGAGGAAAGAAACTTGTGAAAATAAAAAGCTATTAACATGGTATCTGAGATGTGACCCAGAGCTCTTTTCCTTTCCATTGAGTTTTATATAAATGTCAGAAAATGATGCTAGATTCTAAGATTGGTACTGTTGGTACTCTGGTTTGGGACACAGGCTTACAAAATCTTGACGTTCATAAACTCTGCAAAACTGTAAAGCATGTCCACAATCCCGTCGGCCACATACCCCTTTCTCCGAACACGCTTTGCAAACTGAATCAAAGAGCCTAACTCAGGGCCGCTGCTGAGGGTAGGGGGCAATTTCTCTGGGGCCTGCTGATTGCCTCTGGGGTGCTGTGTGGCTGGCTGCCCCAGGCCGGCTTTTTCGGGGAGCACCGAGCCATTCACCCCTTACTTTGCCAGGGCCCCAGGGAGGTTGTCAGTCCTACTAGCCAAACTCCAGAGAGGGGTCCGTTCTCTCCTCCACTGAAATGCAGTTACCTCTGGGGTGGGCCTGGGGAAGCAATAAGAGCGCTAGGCCGGCCTGCCCCCGAGTTCCGGATCGGACGCTATCCTATCTGTCTGCAGCCTAAGGGGGAATTTGCACCATCTGAATGCAAAGCTGGAGTTTGGCCAAGACTCCAGCGTTAATGAAGACTCAGTAACTAAGGCTGAGCTGCTGCGATTGCTGCTTTGGAGTGGTGACTGAACTTTCCATAACTGCCTCATGTTGTCATTTATTAGAAGTTTTGACAATGGAATAGTTGAGACTGGGGAGCACTTGTCTCTCTGGCTACATCCTGGGGCGTCGATGGCCTGTCCATAGAAAAGGGCTTGCCCTTTATAGAATTCCATTTATTTTTAATATAACCTTTCTTGTACATGCTGAGTGCATTTAAATGACAGGAAAACTAAACACCCAGCAGCAGCCAGCGTTTATCTGGCTTTATTGTTTTGGTGAAGCATGTAGATCCCTTAGAAGGGAAGTGGATGCAGAGGGGGTTGCTGATGAGTAATAAGCCATGCTGCTTTCACCTCTACATTATCTTTTACATCCCCACACCCAGTTCAGCTGTGATGCTTGCTAGTACGATGGCCTGTGGGGCTTACAGAGAGTTATTCTGCAGCAGCTATTCCTGACTGGGTGATTAACTCCATATCTGGATGCTCTTATTCCAGATTATTTTAATCCACTTCCTGTTCTGAATGATCATAATCTGCTTTGGAAGTGGATTAAGGTAACTCGGAGTGTGTCCGCATGCGGAGTTAATTGGGAATAGTTAATCCACTTTCAATTCACATTTTACCTTATTCCTGATTGTCTTTCATGTGTAACAAACCCTCAGAATCTTCAGGTCAAGGAGAGCAAGATTTACATCACAAAACCCAGCAACTGTGGCACCTTCCTTGGATTTCCCCAAGGACTGCAAATAAACGTCTTTTCTCACAGATGCCTGCTCTGTCCACCACCTCGCTCTGTACTTTTTGTATAGTTCATTTGATAGCCTGTACGTGGGGTTCTCAGTGAGACAGTCCCTTATGGGCCTGCCCTACACAGAGTAGTCAGAGCAGAACCACTCCTGGTAGATAGATGCTGGTATTTCCTTGCTGTGATGCCTGAAGTTATGGTAACGTACTGCAATGTCACCTACCACATGCTCGCTGCACCCCAGTGAGTGTGGTACATGCTTCTGAAATGCATTGCACTTGAACAATAAGTTAGGTTGTAACAGGAAACACAGACCATGCCTGCTTTCACTGCATTGCACTCATCGCCTGGTTGTTCCTTCCATTCAAGCTTATCTGGAGAAGTGGGTTTTGCCTATGAAAACTCATGACACTATCTATGTATTTGTTAGTCTCTAATGTGCCACATGACTATTCGTTGTTCCTTCTGTCAAAGACAGCTTCCCTCTGCCCCGCCCAGGAAAGTCCCACTAAGTTCACTGTTCTTTGTCCATGAACTGATCTATCTAGTCTATATTATCATGTTTGACAAGCTGTGGCTTAATTTACAGGACTAGAGAATGGTGAATTTGCAATGGATCTCTTTTCACGGAGGTGATGCACACTGCTTAAGGGAGGCTGGGTGAGTCTTGCAAAATGAACAGTCTCCTACTCCCCATGCAAAGAATAATGCTTTGCTTTGCAGTTAAGTACTGATATGAATTTGCTAATGCACATCACTGCCCTCTGCTGGATGGAATTAGATTGGCACAGCTGTGTGTCAGAGACCCTGCAGTTTAGATTTAACTGATTACGCAGGATCCTCCTACCCCAGTGTGAGGGCAGTTAGACCCATATAAAAGGTGCTTATATCTCAACAGGAAGAGGAATAAGCTATATAAGTACAAGGCACCTTCATACCCATATAATTGCACCCCCTGCTAGCAGTAACATAAGAATAGAAGAGCGGCCATTGAGCCCAGTATCTTGTCTTCCACCAGTGGCCAATGCCAGATTCCCCAGAGGGAATGAACAGAACAGGGAATCATCAAGTGATCCCTCTACTGTCATCCATTCCCACCCTCTGACAAATAGAGGCCAGGGACACCATTCCTATCCATCCTGGCTAAGAAGTATTGATGGACCTCACCTCCATGAATGTATCTACATCTTTTTTTAACTCTGTTAAAATCCTGGTCTTCACAACATCCTCTGGCAAGGAGTTCCACAGGTGTGAAACAATGTCCACTGTGTGAAAAAATACTTCCTTTTGTTTGTTTTAAACATGCTACCTATTAAGTAAAATCACATCCTTAACCATACCAAAATGGCATAGCAGACAGTGCTTAATTTGTAACAAATGAGATACCAGGGCTCAAGCCATTTTTTTACACTACTAACTACTGAAGCAGGTGCCAGGGCTGTGAATTGACAAACCTAGAGGTTCCAGGGATCAAAAGTTAAGCTCCGGGAGCAGGCCTTAGGCTGTGTCCAGACTCAGGGGTTTTTTCGAAAAAAGTAGCCTTTTTTCGAAAAAACTTCACCTGCGTCTAGACTGCAGCCGCGTTCTTTCGAAATTAAATCGAAAGAATGCGGCTTTTCTTTCGACGGTGGTAAACCTAATTCCACGAGGAAGAACGCCTTCTTTCGAAAGTGCTCTTTCGAAAGAAGGCGTTCTTGAAAGCAAACAGGCTTTTTAGAAAGAGAGCATCCAGACTCACTGGGTGCTTTCTTTCGAAAAAGCGGCTTGCTTTTTCGAAATTCCGCGTGCAGTCTAGACATAGCCTTAGTGTGCTGCAGAATGCATGAGAGCTGGGTGAGTTTGCCCAGATTTACCAGTGCCCTACACCTTGTGCATTGGTTTGCACTAGTGCAAAGTGTATGCAAGCACTGCTGTTCTGACCTGGCACCATTCTTGCATGTAGGTCTAGGATGACACCAGGTGCCAAACAACAGTAAATTGACTCTCGTGTCTTTGGGGGAAAAAAAGCAGTTTTCTGTGTCAGGCACAGATATTACCTGCATACTTGCCTAGCCACGCAGGCCTGCCTGTGTGTTCCTTTTTAGTGGTTTAATTGATAAAGCTGCAGCAGCTCACCAAAGCAAGTAGTTGAACATTTCCCGAAACTGAATGCTGGGCTATACCCCTCAGCCACGCAGCAAACACTCAGTCTTTTTGAGCACATCAACTGCACAGAAAGGACACCCACTTCCTCAAACGCAAAGAAAACAAACCCAGAAGCAGTGCTTGTTATCAGTGCTTTTCAGTGAAGCAGAGGCTGGGATAAAACGTGGCCGTTACTTCAGTGTCTCTGTATTGGAGTGTGACTAAGGCATTATCAAACGGGGACCGGCAAAAGGGCCAACTAAGAAGTCTATGGTACATCTGGAAAACAAAAGAGAAAGCTTAGCAGAAAAGAAGAAAGGTGGAAAAGGACTTGTATGGGGTTGCTTACAGACAAGCGCAAGAGGAAGTGCATTGGCAAATCAACCTCATTTTTCAAGTGAGCCCAGGAGGGAGTCAAAACAGGTCCCAGGGTTAGAAGACAAGTGTCACAGTTCAGACACGCTTGGAAAAATACCCCTGTTAAAAAGCAGAACAAAACCCTGGTGCAAAATGTCCCTCAAGTTGCCGCGGAATTGGGATTTCAACCTGAAGATGGATGCTGGAAAAATAGGTACTGTTATCATTTCTTTACCCCCTTAAATTCCTGCCCGAGTCAGTGTCCTGTCTGGCCAATAGATCTGGTGAAGTCACTTCAGCCTCTGGGCCTCCAGTAGGCCCAATCCTCAGGTAGAGCATATCAGCATAGCTCGGTGGATGTTAATTCACACTGATTCACACTAGCTGGGATCTGGAGGCCTAAGCGATGCAGTAGCATGGGATCTGAGAAGCTTGAGAGTGTTTCTCAAAGTTGCCTTTGCTTGGGTTCAGAGAGGCTGACAACACAGCGTTGTGCTGTCATTCTCTAAAGCCTGGTGCTGTCTAGACTGCTGAAAAAATGAAGGCTTACAATGATGATCTGGTTATTACAGGAATGTGAATGAGGAAATCTGACCTCTGACACTGACTCAATTGATTGGTGACCTTGGGCAAGTCACTTAGACCAACCTTTTCAGGTGGGTCCCACATTCAATGCTAAACACTCAAAAATCTGTCCTTGAGTTCTTTTAAAAATCTAGCTCTTTATTTCTGTGGCTTATCTCCCTGTCTATAAAATGGGGTTAATGATATCTTTGGAAAACACATTGAGAGCCTTGGATGTTGTGAATCTCTGAGGTCTGCCAGTGAAATAAGATTTGGGTATTGTATTAGTTTTATTCTGCCCTAAATGTGGGTGCTCTGTATAGTCATGTGCAGCTATGAAAAGTAGAAGGTTAGGTCCCAAGGTCGGGGCAGAGCCTACACTGGGATTTGAAACCTTCAAAAAATTGGGGTGTGGTTAGCTCACAGTATTCCGTTTGGCCTCTGAAAGTACAGAGGTTGCTACAAATTCTGTCTGGCTCAGATTCTGGTTTGGATACAGCTGCTCAGATGCCACAGTTTGGGCACGGTGGTATAAAGCCCTAGAATAGGGAACATCTCCTGCTGCTAGAGCTAAAGCCTGAGTTGTCTGGATTCTGGGGTTCCCTATATTGTTGGCGAGGTCATTTCTCCTTGATCTGCAATAAAATCATTTGATCACTGAGTTTGAGGCTGTGATATCTTAGACACCCTTTATACATGCAAACCTGAAAAGAAACCAGCGTGACACATTTCATGTTCTTTTCACTGATTGCAAAGCTGAGTGCTCTATTGGAAGGCAGAGCTGGCTAGTGGGGCCAAATAGCATTGTCTTGTGGCATTGGCCCTCTCCAGTTAGGGGGATCTCCTTGGGGATGCTCTGCCTTGTGGAAGGGGCTTTTGGGGGCGTATCCCCTCAGCTGTCTGTACAAGGCAGAGTGAGAACGAAAGCAAGAGAGAAAAAAGGGCCCCACGCCCAGAGGAAACAGTGACTCTGAGTCAGGTCTGCTGACCCACTTGCTTACATCGCCAGCCGCCTCCGATCAATGATCAAAGATTTCCTTTGTACCGAGAGGCTGTGCAATCGGCCACCCTTATTAGGCAAGATCCTGTCTTAAGGGACCTCCCCAAATCTCACATCTGTAAGCACAGTTTGGCGTCCCCTACATGAGGAGGCCCCTCCCTTAAGGAGCCAGTTTTCCCAGTCCCACTGAGAGTTTGTACTAAGGGACTCACCTGCCATGGGCTCTGATGCTAGGAGTCTGACTAATAAGATAGGTGAACTAGAGTACCTCGTATTAAATGAGGAGATTGACATAATAGGCATCACTGAAACCTGGTGGAATGAGGAAAATCTGTGGGACACAATCATACCGGGATATAAAATACATAGAAAGGATAGAGTAGGCCGGGTGGGTGGCGGAGTGGTACTGTATGTGAACGATAATGTAGAATCAAATGAAATAAAAATATTAAGTGAATCAACATGTTCCATAGAATCGCTATGGATAGAAATTCCATGCTCCAATAATAAGAAATTAGCAGTAGGGATATATTACCGACCACCTGACCAGGACAGCGATACTGACATAGAAATGCTGAGGGAAATTAATGGGTAGCAGGTTTAAAACTAATAAAAGGAAGTTCTTCTTCACACAGCGTGTTGTCAACCTGTGGAACTCCTTGCCAGAGGAGGCTGGGAAGGGGCGGACTATAATAGAGTTTAAAGAGAAGCTGGATAAATTCATGGAGGTTAGGTCCATAAAAGGCTATTAGCCAGGGGATAAAATGGTGTCCTTGGACTCTGTTTGTCAGAGGCTGGAGTTGGTGCTGGCCACTGTCGGCAGACAGGCTACTGGGCTAGATGGACCTTTGGTCTGACCCAGTACGGCCGTTCTTATGTTCTTATGATAACTGCCACCAGGCTGTGGCAGTGACAGCCACACTGGCTCTTTAGCAGGGTCACGGTGTGCAGCTACTGCTGTGAACGAACCGACACAGCTGTGCTCTCCTGACTCCACTAGGGATCTGGGAACATAAGACTGGAAGGGACCTCCTGGGTATTTGAATTGCAACAGGGTCCTATATAGCCCACAAACTTATGCTCCTTCTTGAAACTGACCCCCGCTGCTCCTCTTCGAAGGCTTGGGCCTGGGCCCTCTGAAAGGGAGGATTGTTATTTATTGTTGGCACCGCCACAGCACCTTGGAGCAAACCCAGAACAAGAGACATGAATTGCTGTTGGACTCTGCCAGGGATAAAAATCTACTTTGCCCTAACCTGGCAGCCCCAAGGAGAGGCAGCATGTTGATGGAACAGGCTTTTTGGAGAGCCAGCTGATCCAGCGTGTTGACAGCTCCTGTTTCATTACACTATTTACCTGCTCTGGTCAGTATACACAGCAGCGCTGGTTGAGCCATTGTGGCACGTAGTCCATATGGTATCGTGATTTCAGCACAAGACTCAGATGCCTGTTACTCCTGAAGTCCATTCCCAGCTCTGACACTGACTCCATTTGTGAACTTGGTCTCAGTCACGCTGCCTTTTGGTGCCTCAGTTTCCCTGTCTGCAAAGTGATAAACTCCTTTTCTCCTGGGATGGAGTGAGGGGAAATGCCATGTAGAGTTCTTTGAGCAATGGGTGTGCACAAGATCATGTGGTAGGTGCACAGGTGGGGTACTGGCTCCCTGACAAAGGGGTAAATTCCACACAGTGGTTGTTACATTACTCCCTTGATTTCCCCTGAGCTGATGGAACCTCATAAATGATGATCTGGTCTCTGCCGTTCTAGGCTTGAATCTGAAAGCTTCTCCACCCTGCTCCCACCTGGGTCTCTTGCACATTCGGTGGGGTCTGTGTCTGCTGCACAGGCTCCTCTGCCCTCTTACTCTTTCATCTGAGTTTAGTAGCGATGGCTGGTACAGGCTAGAACCCTGGTGCCTTATTCATTTGGGCTGGAACTTGCCACTTTGCAGTGAGGACACTGCCTAATCCATGGAAATGCTCATAGTTCCCTACTGGCTCTCAGCCTTTCTGGAGTACTTCCCCTTTGAGGAGTTGAATTTGTCTTTCCGCGGGGATCAATTTAATGGGTCTAGTAAAGACCTGCTAAATCAAATGCTGATGGCATCCCCATGGACTCCGGTACTCCAAAACTATTTGTTTACAAAATCAGACATTAAAATACAAAATGTCATAGCAAATTGTTATTGAAAAATTGCTTCCTTTCTTATTTTTACCATATAATTACAAAATTACTCTATTGGAAGATAGTGTATTTACATAACAGTGAATAATATAAACTAGTCACTGTATGAAATTGTAGTTTGTACTGACTTTGCTGTGTAGCCTGTTGTAAAACTAGGCAAATATCTAGATGAGTTGATGTAGTAGTTGGAAGGCCTCTGTCTACCCCCTAGAGTACATGTACTACAGTTGAGAACCACTGTCCTAAGCCTTCCCAAAATTCTCCCCATGTGGCCAGAAGGACAGACAAGTTTTTCTACAATTCACTGGGAAAGAACCACTGAGCGACTCAGCTCACTGCAGTGCAAAGACCCATGTGATATGGCCCCCAAAGTCCTTAGTGACACTCACAGAGGATTGCAACAGCAGGGAAGGTGCAATTACTTAGGCCTTGGCTACACTTATGCTGAGATCCATACTCCAGAGATCGCTCTTCGGGGGTTGATTTAGCACAGGGGTCTCCAGTCTTTTTAACCACAAGATGACTTTTTCAATATAAGTGCAATGTAAGATCTACCCCCAACCCAAATACCCTTACCCCAATTCTACTGGCCACGGTTCCCCATTACTAATCAATGGGAGCCACAGGAGCAGTGTCCGCAAGCAAAGGCACATGTGGAGATCCCCTGCTCTGCCTTTCTCGGGCTGCAGGGCCATGCCAGCCAGTTCCAGTAACTGTATCCATGGGGATAATGACTTCAACCACACCAGGTTAGGCATGTTAAAACTCACTGCTCGAAGAATTAAATGTAAGCATTAGAGACAAATGAAAGGATGAAATGCACAGACCAGTCACAAACGAAACATAACACACTTTGCAATCAGTAAAAGAAGTAGCAACAACCCCCCATGTACGTGTGGGGTCAGGGGATGAGAGGGAAGGACAGTGTGTGTTTGTGAGAGTGACAGAGATTTGCATTGCCAAGCTCCCTCCATCCCCCCCTCTCTGTGTGGCTAGAAGGTACAGAAGTGGGGGGAGGAGGGCACCCTGACATCAGCACCCTTCCTTTTCTCCCTCCCACACTCTGCACAGCAAGCAGGAGGCTCCCAAGGGGCAGTCCAAGGCAGAGGGCAGGAGCAGCATGACAGTGGGGGGAAGGGCAACTGAAGTGCCAGCACTTGGTAGTTTCCCAGCCAAACCCGTCAGGATCCCCTGTCTGCGGCTCCAAGATCTACTGGTAGATCCCGATCTACTGGCTGGTGACCCCTGATCTAGTGGGTCTAGTAAAGACGCACTAAATCAAATACTGATGGCATCCCCATTAACTCTGGTACTCCACAGGGTTGCAACGAATAAGGGAAGTCAATGGGAGAGTTTCTACAGTGGGGGATGATGGAGAAATTCGATTTAAGTTACTTTGAATCCAGCTACACAATTCTCATAGCTGGAGTTGTGGATCTTAAATTGAATTTCTGGCTAGTATAGAC